TTGGTATTCGATCGGCCTTAAGAGTGCCTTAATCCACGATCGTGATAATTGTATGTACGGCACCGTCATCTAAACGTATACGCATTTAATTTTCCAAGAGATCCGCGCAGACTCCTTGACAGTAACCGAGGTCGGGTTCGCGTCGCGGGCAATTCGTTCCGATCTGCTCGCCCTATTAGCTGTCGATATTTACTCGTCGTAGGCAGCCGCAACTGTTTAATTCGTCCGGTCGCCGTGGGATGTCGAACGCGCGTATATTTACTCGAACAGAATCGAAATAATTTTAAAATTCTTGATTTACAAACAGAGCGGCGCTGCTGATTGGAATCATCTACATAGTCGTACTGCGTTTTCGACGACATAATATTAATTATTTAACAGTATAAACGTGGTCGGTGACGGGGTTTTTTTTTAACTGACTGCGAATAGTTGCGTGTTTGTATTTAGAACGATTTCCGATTGACGGGGAAAAAAATGGAATAAAACATTTGCCGCTTCCCATTTTTTGCCTACGGACAACATAATATATTTTTAACGATTCGCAATCGTTTGGTGAAATCTCGTTGCTACAGTGAACAAGTATATGCAAATAACTAAAGGTTTCGTTACGGTATACCTATATAGATTGAAATCGGATTAATCTGTTATTCTGTATCATGTGGTGAAGCAATCGAAATCAAGTTTTGCGCGGACGAAAGAATTTTATGTACGATCCGCATACATATTTACTTATGATTTAACGCTAAAACGTCGGACTCATCGCCTTGTAGTAGTATCATGTGGCCACGATCGATGACTGTACGGCCAGGTATGTTCTAGCAACAGACAGTGAATGTTTGCGGGCGTAAAAAGAATGAATTAAAAAAAAAGAAGTTGACATATTTTTATTCCAAGCCACTGCGTTTTTCCGTTCAACTCGTGACTTTTACAAGCTGATAAAAAAGAGAATTGAATTTTGACTTCAAAATAAATTACGTTTCTCAAGACTAACTTTCGGTGACCAAAAAAAAAAAAAAATAAATAAATAAATAATCGACTTACCTGGCTCGGGCGTACAACGCATCCCGTCGTTTGCTTCATCCTTGCACGCAGCGGCACGGCTGTTTTTCAATCACAGTTCACAGTTAACATACAGTTTTAGTTTATTTTAAAATTTGTCAGAATACGTACGAACGTGTTTTAAATTTAATTTCACAACGAATAATAATATTTCCAATAATAATTATTAGTATAATAACGTTAACATTATTCCAACGTTTTTATTAGAAGAACAACAACAAAAAATTATAGGTCGAACTTCATGACCGAAAACTAGAAATACCATCGGAAATATCATCAAATAACATCGGGAAAGCGAAAGATTTTGTTATAGTTATACTATTCGAATCTCTATTAGTGTAATGAACCGAATTCATTTGTAACCAATCGCATAAGAATTCCGCGTTCGGATGCAGAAAAAACCAAAGTCGAAAACGTACGACGATCACTGTGATAAGTCGCGGCGACTCATAGCGCGGTAGTGTCATCGGTCGTCTTGGTTGGCTGTCACGCGTCGCCAACCAGTCCATACGATTTTCGCGCGAGCAGTCACGTTAGCACGTCGCGCCTTGGAAACCGTACGTGAAAAAGGTCACCTAAAGCGTCCGGGGAAACGTATCGTACGCGCGCGGTCACGCACGAACAGTGGCACACGTTACACGTGCATTTACTATCGTTATTCGATGTAAAACCTGTGGTGTCGCAAAAATAAATTATAATCGTAATTAAAATAATTATCATAGTTTCACGGCCGCACGGCACAACCGTCGTAGTCTCGTCCCCGAGCTCGGTTTCGCCGCGCGCGAGAGACGACGACGGAGGGAAGGAGCGACGTTCTGGTAGCGACGCGTTCACGTGTTATTTTTACCGTCGAGAAATCCATTACGGCGGCCCCCGTGCAGCTTCCCCGCGGTGACAACACCACCGACAACAACAATCATAAGTAATAATCGTATTTTCGAGACTGCTTTCACCCGTAAACGACGCGCCGGCAGGCCTATCGCGCACGTAAAACACATTGTTGTTACGCGTACGAACACTAGGCGGGCAGTACCCGTCGTCGCGGTCCGCGTTCCGTCCCGCCCGGTCGCCATCCGTTCGGCGTTTCATCGTTTCGTCTACATCCCGGCCGACGTTCAAACACGTCGTACACGCCGATCGAATCGTACGTACGGCAGACGCACAACTCGAATCAAGTTAATACTTAACGAAACGCATATGTTTCCTACGGTGGTCGAGTCACGCGACCGCCGCAGAAGACTCCCTTTATTGGTAGGTCTTCCGTCTTATTATTGTACGTTTCGCTTAACCTAATTGTTACACTCATAATTGTTATTGCTTACACGCTGATTTGAACGCGGTATAACAAAAATGTAGTTTGTTTAATATCTCATTTGACCCGAATTACGAACTCGAATCGCCTGACGCTACAAATGTTATTGCGACTCCGGTGTCGAGCGCTGCACGCGTGGGCCTAGCGTAGGGTGACCATACGTCCCGTTTCAAACGGCATTGTCCCTTTTCTATCATTATGTCCCGTTGTCCCGACAAACTTTGAACGGGACGCCTTTTGTCCCGTTTTTAGAATAGGGTCCCGTTATAATCCCGTTACTTCCATAAAAATTGTGAACCGAGAGTAAAAGAAAAACAAATCAAACATGTCATTTAGTGTATATGTACTACGAACTCATGTGCGAGACTTCTGACGAAATCGATATTAAATACGAATAGTTTACAAGTATACAGTACTATTTATAATCAACGATATTCGGTATAATAGATATATTAGGTATATTAATCGAAAAATCGAACATAGTCGTGCAGTAACGTGTGTACATTGCAACGATTCTGTACTATTAATGTTATAGCCACTGTATATCAGTTCATTTTATTTAAATTGTTGTGAGTCGTTAGTGTTATCACTTTTATTGTTTTTCTTTTAAATGCCTAAAAGGAAATATACGTGCACTGTACCTTTGCAGATTAACTAATGTAGTAATAGAAAGAATATTTTCAATCACAAATATTTTATGGACGGACGAAAAAAATCGTTTTATCGTACCAACTATCAAAGCAATAATAATTCTTGAAAATAATTTTAAAAAATATTCCAGTAATGATTTTTATGATTTTTTGTTAACACAATCAAAATTATTGAACTAATTGTTCATCAAAAAAATATAATGTCAAAGGATGTAATGAAGAAAATAATGAACAATCGACATCAACTCAATTAAATTAAAGAATATTTTAAGTAGTTTTTTTCAATCTCACAGCAAAAAAATAATGCAAATCAATGTTTTATTAAAATATTAAACTAATAAAAAATTATTTTTATTGCATATAATATAGAAGTTAAAAAAAAAGTGGTCTTTTTTTTTAGAGAACATATTTTTCCCGTTTTTATTTTTCATAAACATGGTCACCCTATCCTAGTGGTGCGTGTCCGAGTCGTTGTCACGGACCCACGTGGTGTAAACAATTTTTTTCTTTAATCTCCCCATCCTCCGTGAACGTATCTCGGGTAACGCGTTCGATGGTCCACGCCTAGGCTCAACGGGTTAAAATCGCCCACCGCCTCTCTACCGAGATTCGGGAAAATCGTTTAAATATACGTTTTTACAGGGCAAGTGTTTTTTACGATGAAACCCCCCCCCCCAAAAAAATATTTTTCGCACACACCCGGGCGACTCCAACGACAAACCTTGGAGTGGTGCTTCACCCACCGACGTGATGTATTTTGATTATGAAACGAACAACCGTCAATCGCAACGTTAACGTGGTCCCGTTTTGTAAAAGGTAACGTGCCCTGACACGGGTATCAACGCTGGCGTCGGAAACAAATCGCTATCCCTTTGCGACCATCGTGTACATATTCTTCCCGTATCCGTATACTACACGACATACTGCGCACTGTATTTTACACGTGTTATTGATATAACTCGTATGGGTAAAACTCCGGAAAGGATATTCGAAGCTCAAAATAAACTAAAAGCGATTGTTTGCGACTAGATGGTGTACCAAGCATACCCCTGGCGTTCCCGAATGTGTTCTATTGTCAAGTGATTGTAAAAATAATCACAATATGTACTTACATTTTATAACAAAAAAAAAAAAAAAAAATACTAACTACATTAAATTTCGTTTGGGACGCGTTGCGGTGTGTTTTTTAACGGTCGTTTTTTCACGACCTAGGTGTTCATAGCCACCCAAACCACCCATAAAACTCTACCTTTCCTCTCTTCAGTCCGTAGACCATAATAATATAATGTACTACGTAACAATATACATTATCGGTCGTGGTAATGATGACCAATTCCGCGAGAGTTTTTATTGTTATTCCGTATTATGCGAGAGCCCAACGTTTCGACTAGGTTTTCCGGAATTTTTCACGTCCTCCGTTTTATCGAGCACACGATATATTACGCAGTACATAAGGATTTAATGTTCAACACGGCATGCCATCGTTTAATTCGAATTTCCATGTATGTTTTCAATGAATGTCAGGCGTTTCCATGTCGTGCGAAATTCAACGAAGATGTTATCTACTCTTGCGAATACGCTCGTACGTCCTACAGATAACGCAAACACGAACAAAAACAATTCGCTCCTTAATATTATGACTTTTTATTGTGTACCTACTCACCTTTGTATATCAGAGGCGTGGTTTGTAGAGATATTTTTGAAATATCGCGTGCAAAAATTCATCTCTTTAAAACGAAAACTATAATAACTACAGGTTAACGCATTGAGAAATTTAATCAAAGTTCATTCAATTATAACTCGTATGAAATCTCCTTATATTGACAATTTTAACTGTCGAAAAAAGTTGCTATAAGTTTTTTAATCGATCACTCGCCAACTAGGATAATTTACGACATTATAATACACATAGAGAAACGTTTATTTGTATAATAAAATGTCATTTTTAACATCTCTGAATGTTTTTGTTTGTTTTATAGATAACTAAATTGAAAATTGACAGCAATCCGTTCGCAAAAGGTTTTCGAGACTCATCGAGGCTAACCGAATTTGAAAGGTAACGTATTCTTTATCAATACTTGTACACACACACAAATACTGTATCTAATGATTGTCATTTAAAATACATACATTCAACAGAGTTGCGTTGACCCGAACGCGATTGTAAAAAGGGATCGTTAAAAAACATGAATATCAGTTTTCTTGCAATATAAATGTTGAAATTAATTTTTATCGAAAACGTAATCGAAAACGCAATGAATACAATCAAATCAATTATCGTTGTGCACATTTTTGTGTACAATTGCAAATCTACATAATCGTTTAAAAGATTGGGTTATTATTTTTTCTTGAACGGTCGATTCCCAAGTGCTGATCAAACTTTGCCTTGTCGTGCAAACAGTTCGTATGCGATTACGCAGGGTCATTTCAACAAATCGATTCGGAACACTTAGAACCGTTCACCGGGCACGCGCCTAACGAACAAGTTGTTGACGTACTTAATCATATCTAAGCATGTGCAATACAATTAAACGTATTTTATAACGACGGTGATGAGAAAAAAATATAAAAACATTTGAAAACCGCGACGGCTTTCGCGATTTTTCGAATGTCCCACGGGGGGCTCTAAAACCGAAATTCCTACACGAAATCCGAGACTAACGGTGGAACGCGCACCACTTGTGTTCGTTGCAGGGAAACGATGGAGTCGATGCTGAGCGAGCACCACATGCTCAGGACGCCGTTGTTGGACCCGGCCAGCGGTCTGAGCCAGTTGACGGCCGAGGAACGGGCTGTGCTCGCGGCCAGGTCACAGCTTTTCCTGCGCGCGGCCGCCGCCGCGGCCGCGGTCAGCGGTCCGTACGGTCCGCTGTGCGGCATATACAATGCGGCCGCCGCAGCCGGTGGCCAACACCTGTGGAACCAGTGGGCGTCGCTGCAGGGCCCGGCCGGTCTTTACCAGCAGTTGGCCGCGGCCAGCGGCGGTGGCCAGACCACCATGGCGGCCGCGGCCGCAGCCGCAGCTCATCAGCAACAGCAGCAGCACCAGCAGCACCAGCAGCAGCACCACTCGAACCTGTACCAGCAACACGTGGCGGCCGCGGCGGCCGTCAACGGGTTCAGGTTCTCGCCGTACCTGGTGACGCCACCGTCGTCCCTACCGCCACCGCCGCCGCCGCCACCATCGTCGTCACCGGACACCGGTGGCTCTCCGGAACTTTCGCCGCTCGGACACCAGACGACGCCGCATTAGCCGCCACGACTGGAACTCGGACGGATCGAAAGTTCGCCGACACGTTTCTCCCATCTTCTGTGTGTGCGTGCGTGTGTGTGTGTGTGTGTGTGTGCGTTTGTTAATATTTTTTGTAAATAATAATTTTCCCGTGTACATGACGTGTAATAATAGAACAATATGTTGTACCGTAGCCCTTACGCGCAGCGCGCCCAAGCGCCTCATTTAAATTTAAATTTCTAATCGTCGACGTTATGTTAATCTAATCTCGCAGCGATCGTCTCGTAACGTCGCGGACCTACGCGTCACTATCATTATTATTATTATAATTATTATCATCATTATTATTATTATTATTATTATAATTATTATTATTATTATTATTATTATTATGAATATTATAATCGTATATGAATATACAAATTATTACATTATTATCGTTCTTTTATCGGACGTATTACTTTTAAACGCGTAACGCGTCGTCACCTCGAACGGTACTGTGTATCCAACATGTGTATCTAACGGGTCTACGAGTTATGTGATTCTGTACAGAACACCAACGCAGCTTGGCCGTACGTCATTATCTCGATACTATTACAATCACAATTATTATTATCATTGTAGTTTGTTGTTGTTGTACCGTCGTAACGGTTTCGGGACGGAATACGCATAAAACGTACGGATAATACGAATATTATTTACTCGCACGTTCGTTTCGCGTTCGCACCGGCTCCGCCAGACCGTCGTGACGTAACACGTGTACGTAATCGTGTCTGTGCGGCGTTTGCAATATTATAATGTTCTGTACGTTGTCATTTATGTTCACGAATTAACCGACGGGATGTTGTATCATCGCACCACGTGCTGCAGCGTTATTGTTTCGTGTGCGCGTGTCCTGGATAAGAGGTGTACAAGTGGTACACCAGTGGCGTACGTTCAGTTTGCTGGTGGTGTGGTTGATTTATGTGCACAGCTTCCGTGTCGATATCAAACGTCTACTCTTATACTTCCCCGAGGAAGTCCGATCGGACGAAAAATCAACGCTTATGCGATTCCATTATAGTTGACTAATGACACATTTTACATTGCAAACGTTACGTATGATGGGCGTATTTTTCATTCTTACCATTTAAAAACTGGATTTTTTTTTTTTTTAGTCTGTAGAGGGGCAATTCACTCCGAACCCCATCTTCCCCCATTAGATATTCAGTATTTATAAAACAAAATCAAGGAAGCTATTTATAGTATTATTACACCCCCTAATATATTTCCAAGTATAATATTTACGACAACGGAAACTATATAATATAATAAATAATTAAGTGAAATAAATAACAATACAATAAATATTCTGACGTTCAATTGCAATTACAATGGTAAGACACTGTTGAAGCAAACGTGTAATGTAAACATAAACCCATTAATATGACCGAGAAGAGATCAAAATCTTCTAATTTAGTGCGATTTATGGTTATAACAGCAATTATACCTGACGGTATACGTTGTTCTTATAATTTTCAAACCCTTTCATTAGCTATGACTACGAGACCAAAAATTTGCATTTTCAATCGCAATGTTTATTTTATTTTTTGTATTAATATTTGACGGGCTGAGCTCTTTATATAATTAATGTGCATAACACATGTTTGTATTATACAATAACTAGAAAACTTGTTTTACATAACACTCTTTACTCTACACTAAGTTTAATACAAAGATACGTATTACTTATAATTATTTATGAATTTAAAAAGTGAAGGAGGGATCCAAATTGGCAAAGGATATAACAAGCCTAATTGGTTCATTAGACAAATGGTTTGTGGTAGATAGAGGAATAGAGAAGGTCGTCGAGGGTCTTTGAAACTAATTAAAGATAGAAGGTTAGGTGAGTCAATTTTACCATATGTTTTTGGAAACTGGAGATTAAGTGAATGTCTGCGATCAGCCAAATATTCTAATTTGAGTCTAGTAGCAGTAGCATCAGGTATAATCATGCTGCATATGTGAAATTTGGAGCAAGGAATCAACGAACTTAAAAAACCGTTGAACCAGTTCAATTTGGAAAGACCACTAGTAATTTCGAGACCCAAGTCAAGCACAAAGCCATTGGATCGCTCTAAGGTAGTACCATATACATTGTAACGGAATTCAATTTGAGAGTGTCCTCTTGAGAAAGTCGTAACACTTTTCAAAACAACATGTTTTGAAAAATTACGGTTTCGAAATCGTACAAACATTTAAATGTTATTTTTCAATTTATTATTCAATATATAATTAGCAAACGGTTGAACGTATCAGTAAACATTTCAGAGATATGTTAAAGGAGACGCTTTATAAGCATTGCGAGAGACAGAGTCTGGGTTGGACTGAGTCCCCGTCGTGTCATTCCCCCAATTTAAGCGCAGCTCTGCGAGGAGAGAACGAAACGCGTTTTGACCCGGCGCGACCGGCAAATGACTTGGGCACGTGGCCGGGATTTATTTCCACCGAAGTTTTCCGTCTCGAACGAAACAGACGAACTTGACGTCTCGACGACCACGTGCAGTGAACTTTGCCGTTTTACACGCGTCGCGTTCGGTGAAAATGTAGAAAAAAAAAAATCAAGCGAAAAACGATGTCCACAAACGGCGTTACGGTGCGAAAACGAACGTCTTCCCCGGGAATGACCGCGTTGTCCGCAACGTCGTTGTTGCGTACGCGAGATATTGTTTACCTATATAATTAGAAAATATAATGGAGATTATTTATAAAATAAGAAAGGTCTGGTATAGCAATCTTCGGTGACAGGCGATCTGACCTTATCCAGATGTTGAAAAACCGTGTACATCTCAACACGCGACATAGTCGCTCGATATACGAATAAAAGTAAAACGAATAATAATAATAATAATAATCGAGTCTTATTTAATTTACTTTTTAAGTTCTATGCTTCGTTCAGAATCATTGGTCCTTTGAGTCGTATCAATCTTATTGTTAAGGTTCGGAGAGTGACTTGGAGCGCCGATTTATAGCATCTGCGACACGAGTGTTGGTATCGCACACGTCATTAGCATCCGACACATTGTTATTTGTCGGGACGGTTTGAAATGCGAAAATCAGGTGTACGCTTGCGGGAATTGCGTCGGACTAAAAAAGAAACATTTTATCTGTATTATGGTTAGCCCCGTCAGCTTAAAAACTCTTGCGGCTACACGCGACGTGGACGTTTATAAATATTCATGCGATTACACACTCTTAATAGGTATTAAGACCACTTGACGGTCGGAACGCTATGGAAGATCGCAGCGCTGCTCACGAGACGTTTGTCGTATTTTTTTATGTTTATATTGAACATTAAAATGTATGCGAATAGATCCTAATTGTATTTCTTTTATTTATATGCTAATAACAGCGTCTCTTATGTAATACGACATTAAGAAGTAGCTTCGATTCGGTTGTGTTTATGCATTTTGTTAACCCATCAGAATTCTCCGGTTCTAATTCCTTTTTTTCAATCGAGTAATAATGTTAGGAAAAATTAAACAGAACTTGCACTCCGTGATTACCGTACAAAACACTACGGTCAGCCCTTGGTCACGTGGGACATTCTGCGGTGTTGTATATGAATATTGATCCGGACGTCGTGTTTAAAAGTTTTTTAAGTAATATTTATTTTGTTAAGCAGCGTTTTTCATTCGGACTTTCGATATAATTTTAGATATTCTAACATAAATGGTAAATATCCATATAACATTACCTATGCCAATTAAAATTTTTTTATTAAAATACAGAAGTTACATATATATATATATATATATATATATATATATATATATATATATATA